CATGACATAGTAGTTTAGCCCTATGAATAATGACCCATGACTTGTGGAAGCCCTATGAATAATGACCCATTATTCACATTCAAGGGAGAATTAAAAAGGATTTTAATTTAATTCATCTGGAAGGAGTTGGGATGTTGAAGTAGTTTAGCACCATTTGCCACTACTTGATAGTGTTGAACCTAAGAGATCACACACATTAAGGGGCAAAATGCAGACAAAGTATGAGGGAGGGTGCTCACTAAGAGGAGTCTTAGTGTAGGGACCTCTTTATAATTAAAGGGGACCTAATTGTAATTAGGAGAGAACTTATGAGATAAGTTCTTCTAATAGGAAAAGGAGGACAACTCTATAAAAGTTAAGAAGGGGGCAGCCCTAGGGTCATATAACACACTCTTCTGCTAAACCAAACCCTAATTACAGTTTGTTAGCACATTCTTGGAGCTGCCTAACCCTCTCCTCTTTCTCTTTCCCTCTTGGATTGAATCTAAAGAAGGATTTTGGAGCTTTGTTCTGCTGTTGTTTCGTGCAGACTGCATTAGTGGCCAAACAATTGTGAGGCTGCAGATTTGAATCAAGAAAGTCTCCAAACTATCAATAGTGTAAATCAACCTACAATCAGGTATGCAATTAGATAGCTTTTCAAACTAGGGTTTTGTACACCACCATGGGTGTGATCTTGGTTATTTAAGATTCCATTAACTTTTAATTTTCTGCTGCATAAGAGCAATCGGAGCAATCGGGGATGCGTGCGGTGGTTTTCTCGAAACAGATGATTCTCCCTCTGAGCTGGCTACATGCGAATGTATTCGAATGAAGGTGAAGAAGGGAGGCTCGATTCCGGAGAAGGTGGAGATTGTTGCTGGGGAAGTTCTCTTCTCAGTTTCCATCTGGCCAGAAGTCCTTCCGTCAGTTCGGAGGTGGAAGATGGAGAGGCTCACAGAAGAGGGAACTCAAAAGGTCAGGGAGGATTCGATGGTCTCGAAGACAGTAGTCTTAGAGGATGTCAGTGAATGCTCCCCACTGCATGCTCATCCATTTAATCTTCGGGGAGGAGGATTTGTGCTGGTGAGATTGTCGGAGAAGGAAGAAGAAGAAGATTGAACCTGCAGTTCTGATAGGAACCGTTTGATCCCAATACCAACAGAGGGCCAAGATTCAAAAGTCAAGGTGGGCCTCGAGGGAAGTGCCTCTGTTTCGAAAATGGGTCTTCTTGGGGATGGTGAGTTGGTTGAATATATTAAAAATTTAATAAAAGAGTGCTTAAGAGACCTAAAAGTGTGGCTATGGAAGAGTGCTCGCTGACGACAATTAATGAGGCAAGACTTCTCTTTGAGGTTGGGGATGGTGCAGATGTGGGAGTTTCAAAGCGGGTCCAGGATTCAGATCCGGGTCAGCTAAACCCATTTACCCGGTCTAATCAGAAGCCTAGTAGAAAAATGAACCTTAGAGCTGCAAGTGAACCAAGATGGGCTGGAAGTAGACAAAGACAGTTCAATCCGGCTAGACTGGCTCCAGTTTCTTCTCTTGACCGGTTTGAACCGACATGGATCACTCAGCCTTGTTTACAGGATGGGTGGATTGGACTTGTCACTTCGAAGAATCAGGCCTCTTCTTCCCCTTAAGTAGAGCTCGGTGGCTGATTGTAGAAGATTGAACCAACCTTCCCTTTCCATGGTCCCTATGAACGAGCAGTTGCTGGAGGTGACGTCGTTGGCAGTAGTAGAAGTTGAAGATTAGTCTGCAATTAGGAGCGATACTCAGAATCAACATAGAGTGGCAGAGGAAAATGAGCTAAGTCATGTTGCGGCAGATAGGAGAGAAGAAAATGGCCAGATAGAGAGTGTGGGAAATTCAAATCTTGGGACTGATGAAGCCTGTAAGTCTAGTAGCAGCACTTTTACTTGGCTAAAGGTAGGTAACAAAAATACACATTTCTTTCACAAAGTGGCTAATGCTAGAGCTAGAGTTTCAGCTATTAAGAAGTTGACATGGAATGAGAGATGTGGTGAATCTGATTAAGAGATTAAAGCAGTTGCAACCTCTTTCTATAAAGACCTTTACAAGGAAAAGTGGAAGCTGAGGCCATTTCCCTTCAATCTCTCCTTTAGGCAACTGAGTTAGACCCAGAAAATTTGGCTTGAAAGGCCTTTTACAGAAGAGGAAGTCACTGTAGCAATTAAGAATCTTGAAGGTGGTAAAATCCCCTAGGCCGGATGGTTTCACCAATCTATTCTATTTGAAGTGCTGGGACTTTGTGAAAGAGGATGTGATGAAGGTGTTCTAGAAATTTCATGCATATGCATCTCTACAAAGAAGTCTAAATGCCACTTTGATCTCCCTTATTCCAAAAATTGAGGGGGTTGTCAATATTAGGGAGTTTAGGCCGATTAGCTTACTTCACAGTTTCTATAAAATTTTGGCGAAAGTCTTGGCAGAAAGAATGAAAGGGGTGATAGGTAATGTTATTTCAAATAATCAGAGTGCATTTATTCCAGGCAAATAGATGGTAGACTCAATTTTAGTTGCTAATGAGTTAATTGACTCAAGGAGAAGACAGGGTATTCCGGGGGTTGTTTGTAAGCTTGACATTGAGAAGGCTTATGACTGTGTCAATTGGAATTGTTTGGATAGGGTGTTGGAGTGTATGAATTTTTGCCAGAAATGGAGAAACTGGGTTAGTGTTTGCACTAAGACCTCTAAATTTTCAATCCTAATTAATGGGCAATCCATGGGTTTCTTTGGTAGTTCTTGGGGGCTGAGACAGGGAGATCCTCTGTCTCCCTTGCTGTTCATCTGTGTTATGGAAATCCTCACTCTTTTTAGTAAGAAGGCTGCAGAATCGGGATTATGGAATGGGTTTGCTATCTCTTCAGGAAAAGAGAAAGTTAATATTCTTCAGTTTGCTGATGATACCCTCTGCTTTGTGGATGCATCTCTGCCTCAGTTGGAAACAGTTCTTGGAATTTTGAGTTGGTTTGAAGTGGTTACGGGTCTCAAAGTCAATCTGAGAAAAGTAAGATCATCCCAGTGGGCCAAGTTTTAAATTTGGAGGATTGTGCACAGATAATGGCCTGCCATATGGAGCTCCTTCCGGTTAAGTATTTGGGGCTAAATGTTCCTCTTCTTCAATCTGGTGCCCAATCACTGAGAGAATGGAGAAGAGGTTGGTTCTTTGGAAGGCTAAATATTTATCTTTTGGTGGTAGGGTTACATTGATTAAGACCTCCCTGTCCAACCTCCCAACACATTTTCTTTCTCTCTTTCCAATTCCAAATAAAATTGCAAAGAGGTTGGAACAGCTTCAAAGGAACTTCTTATGGAGGGGTTGGGAGGATGAGAAGAAAATTTACATTGTTAAGTTGGAGCAAGTGTGTAAGCCTAAGGCGAAGGGTGGTTTGGGAATTAGGAAAGTGCAAGATTTCAATGCTGCTCTTCTTAGCAAATGGATATGGAGATTTGCTTATGAGAGAAATGCTTGGTGGAGGTGCCTCATTGCGGCTAAGTATGGTGTGGATTGGGGAAATTGGAAAACTCTTGATCCCCCTTTCATTTGGGGGTAGCTCTCTCTGGGCTGGTATTTCTAAGTTCAGTACTCTTTTCATGAATGGGGTCAAGTTTAAAGCTGGAAAAAGGGATAGAATTAAGTTTTGGAAGGATTCCTGGTGTGAGGAAGGTCCCTTGGCTGATGTTTTTCCCCGGCTGTTCCAAATTGCAGTGAATCAAGATTCTTCAATTGCTGATAACATTAGTACCTCTGGGGCCTCCTTTACTTGGACTCCCCTATGTAGGAGGAATTTGCTAGACTGGGAAGTGGAGGAGTATGTAGGTCTGTTGGGGCGGATTCAAAATCAGAGAATTGWCAYGAGTATGGAAGATGAATGGACTTGGAAGTGGAATGCAGATGGTAGCTTCACAGTTAAATCCCTTTTCCTTAAGATGTGCAGCTCAGGTCAGGAGAACTTCCCGGATGGGCAGATTTGGAACCCCATCTGTCCCTCCAAGGTTAACTTCCTGGTTTGGACAATGGTTTTGAATAAATGTTTAACTAGGGTCAACTTGGAGAGAAGGGGTGTTCAGATTCTTGATACCTCCTGTGTTTTATGCGGCATGGGTGCTGAATCTATAGATCATTTGTGCATTCACTGTCCGGTTTCCTTTTCAATCTGGGGACATTTCTTCAAGAAACTAGAGGTGTGTTGGGCTATGCCTATGTCTGTGAAGGAGCTGTTTATGAGTTGGAGATTGGAGGGTCTTAGCAAGAAAGACAGGTTTGTTTGGAATACTATTCCGCAGGCTGTTCTTTGGTCCATTTGGATGGAAAGAAACAATAGAATTTTCTATAATCAATCAAAAAGTCCAGATGAGATTGTGCASAAAGTGGTGGGGAAGATTTGCTCCTGGGTGTCGGTGAATGAGGAGTTTAAAAGTCAGAATGTTTCTCTCCTACTTTGTACTAAATCATGGATGTTCTTGTAATCTGTTTTGGACCCAGGAAGATCTAGTTGGCCTGAGTCTTGTTGTAATCTGCTTTCTCTCTGAATAAAATTACTTTACCTTTTTCCAAAAAAAAAAAAAGATTTATAAAGAAGCCACTAGAATCTTTCAACTTCTTGCTAAGCAAGAAAATTACAAGCATAAGGATGAAGGTGTGTTTTTCACTTTTTCCATGTATTTCCTGCATGTAAAGCGACCATGCATGTTATTTATATGCATGCATCTGATAATTCCTTGTAATTTCCCATGTGCACTCTGATCTGATGCATGGAATTATCATTGCTTATTTTTTGGATAAGCATGTGTGACACCATCATTGTTGAGTTTACATGTCTTGGTGTGTTCCAATGTTGAGGGTAGAAAATGTGCATTCCTTGGTCCTGTGTTGGTTTCTCTCTGATCTTGCTGTTTGACTCCACATAACTGGATTGAATAAAGATTTGAAGTAAAGAATCTGTATTATTTCATGGTAAAATGGTGACAGTTAAAATTGATGAGGAATGTAGGTTGCTCGCAGTGGCCACACTGTGGTCAGAGCAGGTTCTGTGTTGATCCTTTTTGGGGGTGAAGATTCCAAAAGGAGGAAACTAAACGATCTTCATATGTTTGATCTGAAGTCTTTGATGTGGCTTCCTCTTCATTGCACGTAAGTTTGTCTCAGTATATAATGTCAACTGCTTGTCACTGGTTTCTAAAAAACCCTTCTTGAAGTGTTTGCAGAAGGATATATCCTCCTTGTTGGTCAATTTGGTGCTTCTCATCAAACCACCCTTCTCAATGTCACTTTCCATTTTTTATTTTGTTGTCTTAATATATTTATGTTCTTTAACTATGGAACTGTTGCATGTGTGTGCAGAGGAACAGGACCATCTGCAAGATCCAATCATGTTGCTGCTCTTTATGATGATAGAATTCTTTACATTTTTGGAGGGGCATCAAAGTCTAGGCCTCTGAATGATTTGTACTCACTTGATTTTGAAACAGTATGTAGCCTTGGGTAATTTTTTGCTTTCTATGGCAAGATTGCCTTCATAATCATTTATGTTTTTTTCTTTTAGATAGAAGCTGCATTGCCTCTTGATCTGCTATGGGGTTATAAAAAATGGATTTGATTTTATCAGATGATATGGTCAAGGATTAAGCTTCGAGGTTTCCATCCATCACCTAGAGCTGGATGCTGTGGAGTTTTATGTGGAACTAAATGGTATATTGCGGGGGGTGGAAGCAGGAAAAAACGTATGCATCAAAACTAAAGAGACATATTGTAGATTCCTTTTTGCTTTCTAAGTTCCTTAGTTTCTGTTTATTTAGTTATTATTTTTGTGACCTTTGAGGGTTGGACTTGTAGTTAGATTTTCTAATTGATTCACTTGCCTACTTTATGACTTGGCATACAGTCAACCCCCTATAACTGAGATAAAGTTTTGTGGAGTTGTTTTGTGTATGGGTTGGCTAGTTAAAAAAAGGTTGGTTTACCTTAGCATTGGCCGGCTTTATTTGGGTCTGTCTACTTTACTATGAGGAAAAGATTAAATAAATTATATGGCAACTTAATTTGAGCTCCCAAGTTGGATTATGATTTTCTAAATTCTAAAATGACCTTTGACTCTTGGAGTGATTCTTTGCCCAGGTCATGGAAGGAGTGTTCAGTTTTAGGGTTTGGCTTGGGTTGGTCAAAATCAAAGGCATTGTACCAAATTGCACCAATACAAGCAATACTTACTGATCTATATCTATTTAAGTCTATCTACCTACCTACCTATTGGGCAGAATGCAAAAGTCCTACTTACAGTGCAGAAAACAATTAATAAGTATATGAAAACTTAATTTGAGCCCAAAGCAACCTGGAAAAGTTGCATTAGGATTATCTAAATTCTAAAGTTACCTTTGAGAGTTTCTTTGCTTGTGTCATGTAAGGAGTGTTTGGTTTCTAGGGTTTGACTTGGGTTGGTCACAATCAAAGCCAGCACACCAAATTGTACTCTAATACTTACTGATTCACTCTCTCTCTCTCTCTCTCTCTACAGGACATGCGGAAACTTTTGTCTTTGATGTCCTAAAAGTTGAATGGTCTGTGGCAGTAGCATCACCTCCTTCTTGTATTACTACCAACAAAGTAAGTTATGTTGATTGATTGTTGATTGTGTTTTTATGATGCCACCATTTTCTGTTCTTTTCTGATGATTCTATGCCCCAGTATTGTCTGTCTCCATATTGTGCTTTTATGATCTATGAGGGCAGAGGTCGAATTGAACTAGGAAGTGTAGGAAGCGGGGAGCTAGGATGAGGGTGGTAAGCTAGAATGTAAGGGGTTTAAGGGACAGTAACAGGAGGGTAATAGTAAGGAATCTGATAAGGAATTACTGTCCAGGGGTAGTTCTGTTGCAGGAGACAAAGCTGGAAACATTCAATGTGGGCCTGAAGGAGGAGATATGGGGAAGGAATAGTGGGGAATGGCTGGAGTTGGATGCTGCAGGGTTATCAGGGGGACTCTGTGGAATGAAAGAAACAAAAGGATTTTTGAAGATAAATCAAAAAATTCTGAAGCTCTGGTGGCTCTAGTGGGGAGTCTAGTAGCAAATTGGGTCTGGGTGCTTCCAGACTTTAGTAGGAACAAGATTTGGGGGAGAATTTCTGGAATGTACTTAAATTTAGTCGTTGTATTTTGTGATTTTGTCTCAGTTTTGTTTCAGCTCATGTTGTTTGGTTCGGAGCTGTTTGGTTTGACAAGTTAGGTGTCACCTTGTCACCTACTAGACTGTATCTTTTTTTTTCTTTATTTAATAAAATTTTATTTTTACTCTTAAAAAAAACTAGTTTGTGTCTCCAATTTTGAATAGTTCTGATGAAAATACAATTAGAACTGGTTTTTTTTCTTTTCTTTTTTTTTTTGTGAAAGTAGACTTTAACTTGCATCATGTTGTATAATTTTGTTACTCGTCTCCATTTTCTCTGTGAAGATGATGGTAAATTAGCTGTTAGTGTCTCAGTTGCGGCCTCCAAGTTTCAGACTTTGTTTGCTTTGGCTAAATGTATTGTTAAAGTAATAGCCTATTTGAAAAGTAATGTGTCAACTTGGTCATCAATGTTTATACACTTTTATGTTAATGTAGCAGACTGCCAGTTCTTAGTCAAAGGAGTTAAATTTGTGTGTCTCCTAGGTCAATGAGGCCTTTATTCTTATTTACAATGAAAGTGTCTTTTAATTCATGGGTTTCATGTCATGTGCTGTTTGATTATCACAAATGCAGCTTGGGATATGGAGGGTTCGATAACTCAATTGGTCTAAAGTTGTGCCATAAATAGTTTTTCAGATTTAATCTACCTAGATTTAAATTTCGTGCAGTTACTTATCAAGTGTCTTCTTTGTACTTTACCCATTTTCTCTTTTATAAGGTAACTCTTGATCTGTTTCTAATCAAAAAAAGGAAAAAAAAGATACCCTATGAAGTCTAGGGCATAGAGAACAGAGCTTGGGCTGAAAGAGTGAACATATTGTTTAGATGGGTCCAAAGATCTTCCAACACTCGTTTGCATGTTGACTATATAAGGAGGTATGGGTGGATTCGAGCCGAGCCGAATACTTGGCTATTTGAGCTCGGCACGGCTCGAGCTCAACTATAAGCCAAGTTTTTTGTTTTTTTTTGAAAAATAAAAATTACATGTATAAAATTATTATTTTTTAGACAAAAAATTAAGAATTATAAAAGTTATTTACTATCATACATAAAAAATAAAAATATTATATTAAAAAATATTATTATATATAATAAAATTATTTACTATATATATTTATATATGTATGTATGTATGTATATATAATAAAAATTATTTATTTAATAATAGGCTTGCGAGCCTCATGAGTCGAGCATCATCGGGCTCGAGCTCGACTAGATTAGCAAACGAGACTATATATCGGGCTCGAATTCGGCTCGAAGCTTGGTTTAAACCGAGTCGAGCTGAGCTCGAATAGCTCGTGAAAGGCTCGGCTCGTGGCCACCCCTATAAGGAGGAGGCCTAGAATAGAGAGGGCTGTACTGGGTCTTGGCCCTTTGCATTAGGTTTTGTGGTGGTCTGGTCTGTCAACTTCAACTCTAGTTCTTGTTGTCAGGGAGGTCTTTTCTTATTTTTTATTCTCTCTTTTGTCCTCTAGTATTATTTATAGATTTTTTTTAATCTTGTTACTGATTAAGAAAAATCTGTCACCTTTAGCATCCATAAGATTCTGACTAGCTGTCACATTTTTCTTATAGTTGATTTTTTATTAGTGAAGAAATTGTATTATACTACTAGGGAGGGAGAGGATCCTTTAACCACTGTACGAAACAGTATGTATTTTGATAAGTGAAGAAATTGAATAGCTGTCACATTTTTCTTATAGTTGATATCTAATTTCATTTAATTGACTTCTTTATTATTGTTCTATTGGGCGTGCATAATTTACTTATTATCTTGGGTCCTGTAGTGCTTTTTGGCATAATTGTGCGTTAATGTTCCTTATACAGGGATTTAGCCTAGTACTTGTGCAACACAAGGAAAAGGCTTTTCTAGTTGCATTTGGGGGATCTAGAAAGGAGCCATCAAATCAGGTTGAGGAAGAGCATCTTTTCCTTTTTTTTTTTCCATGCATAAGCCAATTCTATGATTTTATTTTCATAACTACCTCTTTTACAGGTGGAGGTATTGATGATGGAAAAGAAGGAAGAGCCCATTGCTAGGCAATCTAAACCCGATAAAGGCCTTGGCCCATTGTTGATTCAAAATTGCTCAAGCACCACAATGTTAGCTTCTCAACTTAGTAGTGGTGTTTCTCCATGTCCAGTTGATTCTGTTGCCAGACAAAATTTAGCATCTGCCTTGGAGCACCATGGCTCTGGCCGAAAATCTATTTCGAATTGCTTACATGTCGACCCAAATCCAACCACTGGCAATATCTCACTTTACAAGCAATTTCACAATGAGGAAGAATTCAACATGTCTTTTAAAATGCTGAAAAATCTTGAAGATGAAAGTTCTTCCTCACAGGTAAGTCACATGCACTCTGCTCCTATTGTACTGGCAACTAAGTTTCTCTATTAACATAATCCATGCATACCTTTCAAAACAAGGGTATATAAACCTTGTATGCTGCACCTGATCTTGTATTTATTATTATTATTTTGGTGTGCATGAGTATTCATACCTTCGAGTTTATTTTATGTAAGCTACATATGGACTTTCATTTATATGTTGTCAATGTGTAGCTGGACTAACTTTTTAGTTGAAGGAGCTGTATCCTAAGCAGGGGTTGTATAGTGGAGAAACAATTACTGACCCCAGTTTGGTAATTCCATTTCTGGTCACCAGCTGGACTGGGCCGGCCTAGGTGCATGGAGGAATATTATTTTCAGGATGAGGATGGATCTGGGGTTGTATATGCCTTTCCTCTATTGGATGCATTTGCAATTACCTTTCTTTGTAGAACGTGATTGGGAAAGCTTAACTCCTTTCTTAGCTTTAAGACCTTATAAACAAACTGAGAATTCAGCTACATCCATTTTCAAGTTGTGCACATACACTTCAATGGATGGTGGCATTATGGTGTAGGATGGAGAGGAGAAAAGTCCTAGTTAGGGGGTAGATAGGTTGAGCCTAGTCTACCATAGCTGGGTGTTTGTTACATTTTCAAATTATTGTATATTGTAATTTACACATTCCTTCTTCAATTAATAAATTGGTAATTTTCTAGTTGCTGATCACAAAGAATGAAATAGACTAATTGTTGAGAAATGTTGGGCTGTAGAAGTTTATTTCTTTTATTGGGCTTTGGCTGTTTTCATCCACAAATAGTTCCTACTGATATGTGGTTGCTTAGAATTCACAAGCCATGGCATAACCATATAATTCTCCTGCATCCACTTGTCATGGGAAGCATTTGCATTATCTGGTTTAACGGTACTACTTGTAATATACCCCCATCTGCCATAACCACCAATATAAATATATAGGTTGTGCCCATTCTAAATAATTAGTTCCATCCAATCTAACAATAATATATCATTGTTGGTGTTCTCTACAGACCATATAGATTCTAGATTCTGCTTGGAATCAATTCCTGTTGAGAATGTTTAGGCATGGGTGTTTTAGTCTTTTCCTTATCTCTTTGTATTTGGGAGCCTAAGTATGGGCTTTCTTGTAATTTTTCCTTCAGAATATAAAAACTATTTTTGAGGGTGTGAACAGTATAATATGCACACCTCTTTGACACATTCTTCTCCTCTCTTCTCTTATTGTACAAACCCTAGATTTACAACACCAAATTCACAACTTGGTAGGAGAATGGGTAAAAGCACTTAGGAATACCTTTCTTGCTGATCCTCTCCCACGAGATGAATTGCTGATGTTAAAAGTACTGCCGGATGACGTCAGCAGTCTGTATAGGTGCCGGTAGTAGTCAATGAATCCTACATGGTTTTATTCGCCCTGATTTTAGAAGAATTTTGGTATGACTTGTTGTTCAAAGCTTCTATGATTTTTAGTGGATTTTTCAAGAAGAAAATCACAGAAATTCCAGATCTGATGTCAAGCCCTATACAACATGTTTAATGAGTTCTTCCGCTTTAAAACCTAGACCATTCAAGTCATTTTACACTTTGGGAGTGATGGGGAGTGGTCCTGTAATTTTCTAAGCCCTATACAAATTTTGGGAGATTTTCTTCTCCCTCTATTTTGCTGCCAACCTAGTTTTTTGGCCTCCTTTTGTTTCTTAACCGTGTAGTGACCTATTTTCTTGGGTCTTTAGCTTTGGTTAAGTATTGGGGGTCTTTTCGGTTGACGAGAAAGTGTATTGATAGAATATGGAATCATCTAAGGATGTAAATATGGTTTCCAATGTGCTCCCAGGAAATGCATATATTTCCAGTGGTATGATAACCATTATTAAACTTGATGGAACCAACTTTTTAGAGTGGTCCCAATATGCTAAGCTTACCATCACTAGGTGAGGTAAACTGGGATTCATTACAGGAAAGGAGGTGAAGCCAAATCCTGAAGATCCGAAATTTGCAAAGTGAGAGCAGGATATCTCCCTTGAATGTCATGGTTGATTTGCTAAGTGCAACCTCATATTGCCCGAACTACATGTCTCTTCCAACAGTTAAAGATATTTGGGATAGAGTTATTGCCACATATTCCCAAGTAAACAATACTACTAGAGTGTACCAGCTTCAGAGGGAAGTTTGCAGTATGCACCGGGGGGAGAGATCTGTTGCTATGTACTTTTCTTTTCTTTACAGTTTATTTGGGAAGAAATGGATTACTTGAAAGCTCTCGTATGGAAGGACCCTGAAGATGGTGAGCAATATTGAAAGTACATAGAGGATAATAAAGTGTTCGATTTCTTGGCCAGCTTGAATCCAGAGTTTGATTTTACCAAGCAACATATTCTTAGGGTTGACATTGTCACTCTTGCTTCCGCTTACTCCCTTGTACAAGGGGAAGATAATAGAAGGACTGCCATGATGCAACCTCCTGTGATTGATCACTTTGCCTTTATGTCATCTCAACCCAAGCAAAATACTAGCAAGCACCCTGTTACTGAGAAAGCTGAGGATGTTGTTTGTGATTATTGCAAGAAGCCAAGACATACTAAGGAAAGGTGTTGGAAGCTTGATCCTCATTTAAAACCAAACAATTACAAAACTGGGAAGAAGGGCAACGCTCACTTGGCTACAGTTGGTAATGATGCTCAACCTTCTGATGTTCTACATCTTTTAGCCCATGGATTGTACACTCTAGGGCCAGTGCCCATATGATTGGTATGCCTTCACATTTTACCTCATATAAGTTAATCGGGGAAGGGCAAGATAATTGTTGTTGATGGATCTCAAACCCCTATTTCGGGTCAGGTTGAAGTCAAACTCACTCATAACCTTTCTCTTGGATCTGTTCTTCATGTGCCTCGGTTACATAAAAAATTGTTGTCAGTTAGTTTTCTTACAAAATCCCATAATTGCTTAGTAACCTTTTCTTTTTACTCATTGTGTTTTCCAGGACCTGAGCACGGAGAAGATGATTGGAAGTGGGCATGAAGTCGATGGAGTCTACCTTTTTGATGGACCTTTAGAGCATGGATTATCAAGCCAAACTGAGTTTTGTTCAAATGAGAAAATGAGTCTTTTGAAATTATGGCACTGTCGTCTTGGTCATATGTCTTTTAATTCTGTAAAATTTTTGTTTCCTAACATATTTGACTTGGTGCCAAAGTTGAACCTTGAATGTGAAGTTTATCACCTATCCTAATAATGCAGAATCACATATTTTGCGAGTAGTCAAAGAAGTAATGTTGCTTTCCATTTGATTCATATTGATGTTTAGGGCCCATATGCTATACCTTGAATGGGTGGGTATAAATACTTCATTCTCTTCATTGCTGACTACAGTCGGTGTACATGGACCTACTTGATGAAAAGTCGGGATGAGGTTCCTATGATTGTTCAAAACTTCATGAATATGGTAGAGACAGTTTGAGAAAAGAGTTAAGATAATAAGATCTGACAATGTTGATGAATACTTTGAACATCATTTGCATGGGTTTTTTGAAGATTGGGGCATTGTTCACCAAAGTTCATGTAGTCATACTCCACAACAAAATGGGGTGGCTGGAACAAAGAATAAGCATGTGGTTGAAGTTGCTCAAGGTTTACTATTTCAAACTCTTGTTCCCACCTATTTCAAACTCATGTTCCATCAAGGGTCCTTAACCTTTAGTTTCTTCATCAACTTCTCTTCCCTAATGAACCTCCTTTTAATCTACCCATCAAGATTTTTGGTTGTATTTGTTTTATTCATGATATGAGTCATTCCCAGCATAAGTTTGATCCTAAATTAGTTAAATGCGTATTTCTCGGTTACTCTCCAATTCAAAAAGGCTATAGATGCTTTGATGCTCTTTCTGGCAAGAAATATGTTTCTAAGGATGTTACCTTTCTAGAGTCTTTTTTTTTTTTTTCAGTTATCATGTCATTCTCTTCAGGGGAGAATGCAAGCGAAGATTAGATTCCCTTTTGCCTTCCTGTCCCTGTCCCCATTCCTCCTCCCCTCTCTCTTCCTTGTATCGATGGTTTTCCTTCCCCTCCTCCTCCTCTTCTTGTCTATCGGCCTCGGTCCTGGTAGTAGTTTTTCATCAGGCGCAGTAAGAGGGTGGCTCCTAAAGCATAATGCTCATCACAATCTAATCTCCTGGACTCAAATAATCTTGAACATCTTGATAATTCTATTATTGATCCTGACCTTGATCTCCCTATTACCATCCGAAAAGGGAAGAGGACATGTAGCAAGTACCCTATTACTAATTATGTGTCTTATGATGCTCTCTCACCTTCCTATTATGCCTATATTTCTATCATCTCTTCTGTTTCCATCTCTCGTAGTGTTACAAAGGCAATGCAGTCCCCTCACCGAAGGGAAGCTATGAACCAAGAAATGGAGGCCTTAATAAAGAACTGGACTTGGGAGATTGTTCCTTGTCTTAAGGATGAAATTCTTGTTGGATGTAAGTGGATTTACACTATTAAGCACACGACAAATGACTCAAATGAGAGGTACAAAACTCGACTTGTGGCCAAAGGATACACTCAAACTTATGGCATTGATTATCTAGAAACCTTTGCTCCAGTTACTAAAATGAACTCTATTCGTGTGATCATGCCTTTTGCTGCCCATTACTCTTGGCCTTTATATCAAATGGATGTAAAGAATGCCTTCTTTAACGGGGACTTACAAGAAAAATTGTATATGGACTTATCACCTAGGGTAAGCTTTCCTAACAGTGAAGGGAAAGTTTGCCACTTAAAGAAGTCCTTGTATGGGTTCAAGCAGCCCCCTAGAGCCTAGTTTGACAAGTTCAGAAATGCTATCTTAAATATTGGATTTTCTCAATCTCAAGCTGACTACACTTTGTTCATAAGAACTGTTAGTAGAGTAACAATGTTGGTAGTATATGTTGATGACATTATTGTGACAGGTGACTATATCACAAGTATCTC